CTCGCCTCATCCATCATCCATCCTCCTCCCCTCCATCGTCCCCTCACCCCCTCCACCCCATGTTCCTTCTAGAGGGTCCCACCCCTGTCGCACCCACAGACATGTTGGTAGGGCTGGCCAGCCGTGTCGCCTTAGACGTCCTCACAACGTTAGACCCTGAAGCTTGAAAGCTTCACGTGCTACACAGATGGAGGGGAGGCAGTTTCAAGATGGAGCGTTCGCCGTGGCGCGACGCACCTTTGCCTTGAAGCCCCGCAGCAGTTATACGGACGAGGGGGGCGTGTTCAAAATGGAGCTCTCGCCGCGGCGCCGCCCAGCGTCTTAGAAGCTTGCAACTGATTCACGAAGTGAGGGAAGGTCGGTATCAAGATGTGATTCTCGCCTGAGCGCCGCGCACAACGGGAGTGGTCTCGCTTGAGAATTCCCTGTCTTAGGATACCAGGCACGAGACGTCAACATGTGTAGCGGATGGAAGGTGTTTCCTTTTCACGATGAAACTCTCGTTTGATGAGAATTGCTTGGCGCCCCACCCCATATAGCCCCGATGCTGCAGAGCACCACTCTAGCCGTCACGAATAAGAAGAAGTAGAAGCAACATATCAAGGAAGTGTCCAGCAAGATGCCCACGTCGAAAAGGAGAAAGCGTCCATCAGTTAAACCTTCGAAGATGTGTCTACTAGTTGGGGAAGTCTCAAAGCTCAAACGAGAGCCCACTTTGAACATATTCACCCGCTCAGATGTTTCAGAACTGTACACGGGTGAGCATGTGGTTTCTGAGTTGTCACGCGGCAGGCCCATGGTGAAAAGGAGCCACCCTCCATCATGTCAGCTGCTGTGCGTGTATCGGATGTGTGTAGCCCTAGGTAGAGGCCCAATGTTAAAAACGGCACACCGTCCAGCCTTGCGGGTGTTGGCAACGCTGTAAACGAACGTCCTCTATCCTTGTACGCGTGGATGACTTCTTAGAAACGAAAACGCGCCGCGCTGAAGCGAGACTCGCAGATTGAAAGCGGCCCACCCTCTAGCCGTCTAGCGGTTGGCAACGTTGCAAATGGATGTGCGCGGCGCTAAAGGCGAGAGCCACATGTTGAAAACCACGCGCAGCACATCCTTACAACTGCAACAAAGTCGAGCTTCTGGGTGACAAGCGACGTGGAAATCTTAAGCGAAACGCCTGGGCCACCCTACCGACACGTCTAGTGGTGCGACGAGGGGGTTGGGGGGGCACCTCCTGGTACGGAGTAGGATAAGAGGAGGAGGAGGAGATGGAAGGGGGGGAAGACCAGAGTACACCCAAGATGCATCAACGATGCTGCAATACCCACTCCCGTCCCAAAGACCCCTCCTCGTGCCTCCCTGCAAGCACTCTTATGTCACAGCAAGAAGCGCCCCCTCGAAAGACGAGCGCCTCCTGGGAGCCCGCCATTCTAGCGGGAGCTGCGCTTTGATAGGAACCTACACCAAGGCTCGACCTAAACAGCGTGTGGTTGTCGTTGTGTTTTCGGTTTCTCTCGTTTTGTCTTCAGTCCACCTTTGCCGTAAAACGAATTCGACACGACAACGGCCCACGAGATCGCCTAAACACCGTCTAGGGCCCACCCCCTAAAACTGCACTTTCCATCGTTCGAGCTGCGAGGGGGTGCGAGGAGGTGGGATCCCCACGTCCTCGGAGACAGCCCTGGTTGAAAAAGGCAGCCGCCCCCCCCCCATCCCCTCAAGTGCTGAACACGCTGAAACTGCTCTCGGCGATTGCCTGCGGCATGCGTGCTGACAGTTGCTGCATCTGGCCAGCAACCATTCCCCAATGCGGGAACGCCCCGCAGGACCCCAGAGAAGCCTTCGACGACATTTTGGCGTTGCCAGGCCAGCAATTTGGGCACCCGGAGGCACGCGCGGGGACCAGGGTCTCGTTTGGGCCAGCGTGGGGCGCGTCGGCGTTGGTCACTCCAGGGGCGCGGCGCGGCGCAGGTGCGAGAATTGTATGCTTGGCAACATGCTGGGACGTGTATATGTACACGTATATGACGTAGGCATACGTATAGACATGCATGCATGCATACATGCATACACACCTGCATACATGCATGCATACAATATGCGTACATATCTACACGTACATACGTACAAACGTACATACGCACGTGCGCGAGTACATACATACACTACAGACCATTACAGACACGCATGCATACATAAATAGATGCAGACATACATACATTACACATACATAAGTAGATATGAGATAGAAACATCGGGCGCGCTTCGCGCTCCAGGTTCTAGCCCGGGCTGGCGGGGCGCTGGAAGATCTTGGACAGCGCTATCAAGCACAGGCGCGTGACATGGTCGTACCCATCCTCACCCACCCCCAAATTCAGACCCAATCCTCATACTCCTCATCATCCTACTCTGCGTTACCAGAAAGCCATCACGACCACACTCACTATCAGCATCATCAACAACACCATGGAGAAAATGCTTGGCCCAATGCTACTAGCCATGGCGGTACGTCAAACTCACGCATCATCATGATCATCACCACCATCCTCATCCTTGTCCGTATCATCATCATCATCATCATCATCATCATCATCATCATCATCATCATCATCATCATCATCATCATCATCATCATCATCAGCATCGGCCTCCGACTCTGCCTGCGGTCAGAAATTGTTGCTTAGCGTGTCGCGTCGGGTTGCTTTGCGAGTCGCGATCTTGGGGTCCTCGTGGAAACATATTGAGCGTCTTGGAGCGCTCTTGGGCCGTGTTGGAGAGGCCTCATGGACTCATGGACCGCTCTTGGAACTCTTCTGGCGCCTTCCTGGGGCGTTTTAACCCCCAGGCGCGATCTCGACGCACTCCCGGGTCCCTGGGGCCCCCATGGTGCGTCGAGGTGCCGCCCTGGGATCCACTGGCCCTGTCCCCCGGGATTTCTTGTACCATATACACACAAATCGCATCGCCCTGGCCTCCGTGAGTTTTTACAAAGGGGGGAGTTGAAAAATGATTACCCGGCGGCGAATTCATGGCAGTCGTGGGATTCGATGGGGAGGGAGGAAAGCCATCATTTTTCAAACGGGTACACATTCGCGCCATGAATGCTGTAGATGTCCTGCAGACTCAACCGACGACAACTCGCCAGATTCGGCAACTTGCCGCGTGCATGTTTTGGGGGGTGAACACATTGTTCTGTCGCGTGGCGGCTTTGCTGTTTCCTTCCGTGTGGCGAATGCGCCGCTTCGACGCGGGTCGTGCAAGTTTTGTCATAGCGCTCTCCCTAGAAAGCATGGTCATGCACAGGTGTGGCGATTCCTGCAGATCTTCACGCCCCTGCATACATGTTGTAAGATCTTGCGCAAAAACACGTTTTGCAGACACTCTCCACCAGGGACAAGCACGTTGTAACATTGCTGCTCGTGTGCCCAGTGTGTTCCAACAGTTGCGTCGGTTATGCCAACATGCTGGCGGATTCGAGCCAGGCGCCGGGGCGAGCGCGAGCCGCCCGAGAAGATCGGTGGCGACCGAAGCCGAACGCCGCCGATCACGGCGACCCCGCTTGGAAACGGGCGGCGCGCGCAGATCCGAGCCACGCCGCGCCTCAAAACTCGCCCTCTGGCCCCGTCCGAACCGTGGTGCGCTCCAAGCCCCGACGACGCAGGTCGCAAGCCACAGCCTCTGGCGCAGCCGCACCCCCTGCAGCCGTGGACCTTTCCCCCCGGGCCACCGCCGCCCTCCTCCTCCTCCTCCTCCTCCTCCTCCTCCTCCTCCTCCCCCTCCCCCTCCTCCTCCTCCTCCTCCTCCTCCCCCGACCTCCCTCCTCCTCCTCCTCCTCCTCCTCCTCCTCCTCCTCCTCCTCCTCCTCCTCCTCCTCCTCCTCCTCCTCCCCCTCCTCCTCCTCCTCGCGTAGCCGCACCCTCTGCAGCCGTCGACCCTTCCCCCCGGGGCCACCCCCCGGGGCCGACCGGCCCAAGCGCTGACGCCGCTCCGCCGCCGCAAGCGCCGAGGGGCCGCGCCGCGAGGGGAGCGCCAGGCCCTCGTGCCGAGAGCGGCCGCGGAGGCGGCTGCGGCGAGGTCTCTCGGAGGCGCAGGCGCAGTCGTCGCCGCCGCCGCCGCCGCCAGGACGAGGAGGAGGAGTACGAGGAGGAGGAGGAGGAGGAGGAAGAGGAGGACGAGGAGGAGGAGTACGAGGAGGAGGAGGAGGAGGAGGAGGAGGAGGAGGAGGATCCTCGTCGTCGGCACAGTCACGAGTCGCAGTCGTCGCCGTCGTCGTCGGCCATGGTTTCTGTTCGTCGATCGTCGTCCCCGTCGTCGATCGTCGTGGACCGTCCTCGATCGCCCTCGGCGTCGTCGCCACCGTCTTCGTCGTCGAGCGTCGTCGAACGTCGTCGGCGTTTTCTTCGTGAGAGGCAGAGGTGAAGAGGGAGAGGGGGAGCGGGGAGGGAAACAGGAGGTCGTCGTCGTCGTCCTCGTCCTCGTCTTCGTCCTCGTGGCGGTCGTCGTCGTCGTCGTCGTCGTCCCTGTTGGCGTCGTCGTCGTCGTCGTCGTCCTCGTCCTCGTCCTCGTTCTCGTCCTCGTCGTCGTCCTCGTCGTCCTCGTCCTCGTCCTCGTCCTCGTCTTCCCCGTCCTCGTCCTCCCCGTCGTCGTCGTCGTCGATGTTGTCGTCGTCGTCGTTGTTGTCGTCGGGAGGGGAAGGAGGATCTCAGTCTACCTCACTTAGCCCAAGAGGTCTCCACAGCAAGCAAACATCGCACGCTTCACGTGACGGTGGGGGCACGGGAGGGGACATGGACGGAGAGGAGCAGGGGGGGTGGGGAGCGGGAGAGGACGAGAGACGAGGGAGGTGACAGAGGAGACGCGGAGATGGACTGTGAAGGGGAGGGGAGGGGGCAGCGGCCGGGGCAGGAAGGGAGGGGGGGCAGGGAGAGCCGGAGCGGCCGGCGCGCAGCAAGGAGGAGCAGGGGCAGGCGCGCCGAGAGCACAGGGACCTGCGCGAGGCTTCCCCGGACCATGAGCGAGACAGGGAGCTCTCGCTTCGCCTTCCAAGACTGCCACCGTGCCTCGAGGCACGACGTGGAGTGTCCCGAAGATTCGACAGGGCCTCAATCCTCATTGACGGGTTGCTGTGAGTACCCGGTCAGGGGACCCAGAGCCCCCAACTGCCAGGGGTGCTTCGCGTGCCCCCCCGAGGGGCCGATCGCGCGCCTTCTGGGGCTGCCTCTGCATGACCCTCCCCGAGGCCACAGGACGTAAAAGACGGGACATCAGGATCCCAAGAGGGCCACAAGACAGCCTCCAGACAGCCCAACAGGCGGCCTTTGGGGCTGTTGGGCCGTCTTGGGGGCCTGTTACAGGCCCCCATGACATCCCAAGAGGGGCCCCAAGAGGGCCCCGAGAGAAACAAAAACCAGACTGTCCTCTGGTATTTGAAATACCTCAGCGTGTTCGCCTTTGCGGGCTTCCCAAGACGGCCCAAGAGGCCCCCAAGATCGCCCAAGAGGCCACAAAGATCGCCCCAAGACTGCCCAAGAGGGCCCTCTGACGGCCCAAGAGACATAAAGACGGCCCAAGAAACCCCCTAATAGGGCCTCAAGAGGGGCCAAAGAGGGGGAAAGCGAAGGAGCCTCCGGGCCCCATCTCCAAGGTACCCCCCTTTTACCTCGAACTTTCCTCAAGAGCCCTCCTGAAGCGCCAAAGAGGCCCCCAAAGAGACCCCGCGAGGCCTCCCCAGAGGCCCCGCATGGGCCCCAAGATGCCCCAAGGCACCCACAAGAGGCCTCCCAGAGGCATCCTGAAGGGACCCCAACAGGCACCCAAGAGGCCCCCTGGCCCACAACCTGGGCACAGGCGGACTGGGTCGAAGGCGAATGGATCATTGAATAACCTTTCCAGGTTTTCGCCAGGATCGCAGCCCGGCAGACACCTGGAAAGGCCTTTCGATGATCCAGTGGCCTGGCTGGTGTTTCCCAACCCCTCGTGTGCTGGCTGGCTTCGTCCACGAGGTTTTCTGGGTCGCCGCCCTGTCTCCCTTCCCCGGGCTGGCTGACTGGCTGCCTTGCCCTTGCTCGTGCTGCTGCCAGGGCCAGGGTTGACCCTAGGAAGCAAGCAGTAAGCCACCCGGCGATACCGTTCATACGAGCACATGCTAGCCAGCGTGGGCCACAAATACTGATTTATTGTAACCAATGCGGTGCAATTTAGGTGCTGCCGTCAGTGTGGTGCAATCTAGGTGGTGCAAGCCACGTGGTGCCGGTTATGTGGAGCAAGAGGAACACAAAGGGATCTCATCGCAAACTCAAAGGAACCGGAAGAATCCAAGTGGCATTGCCTGGTCTGTACTGGCTGCGGCGTGCACCGAACACCCCGGCTACGGTGTCACTCCTGGCCCACGACCAAGTGCGGCCTACCTCTGGGTAGTCGAAGCCAATCTGGCGCCAATCTGGCAGGCCCAATCTGGCAAACGGGGGCAATCTGGCGAGGGAGCCAACGTGAATCCAGTCTGGCGAATCACCCAAATCATCCAGTTTGGCCGGGCCAGATTGGCCCTGGGGGCCCAATCCAATCTGACAGTCTGGCCTTCGACTACCCAGTACCTTGCACGACTCCTCACATGAGCTTCAGGCCAGCAGCGCCGCCCAGGAAGACATACACCCTCTGAGCCGGCCTCCCCCTTCTCATCCTTCCTCCGCGGCCGTCTCTCCTCCTACTCCGTCCGTGCAGGCGAAGTTCGTTACCGCGAAGCCCGCCCCAGCTTCGCTCGCGACGAGCCGACTGCCGCTGCGGGCCAACACGAGTTTCGCGCCGTGCGCGGATGCGCTTGCCAATTTCCCCAGCTCGACGGATGCGACGCGCAGCCATGTCCGGATGCGGGAGGAGGAGGAGGAGGAGGAGCAGGAAGTCCCCCGCATCGTTCGCCTGTGCCTGCCCCTCACCTGGGATGAGATGGCTTCGGCTGGAGCGCGACCCGCACATTCGCGGCTGCAGCTTGAGCTGGCGTGCCCCACGGCCCGCTGAGCCGCCAGTGGCGCGCCGCTGCGGAGGAAAGGCTTCGTGCCGCGCGTGGCGTGCGTGCGACGTGGAGTGGCGCGCGAGAGAAAGCTGGGTAGTCGAAGCCAATCTGGCGCCAATCTGGCAGGCCCAATCTGGCAAACGGGGGCAATCTGGCGAGGGAGCCAACGCGAATCCAGTCTTGCGAATAACCCAAATCATCCAGTTTGGCCAGGCCAGATTGGCCCTTGGGGCCCAATCCAATCTGACAGTCTGGCCTTCGACTACCCAGGCAAGGGCCAGTGATGCCGACAAGGCCGTGTGGTCGTCGCGCTCCTGCTGCTGCTCCCGTCGGCGGGCCACGAGGCGGGGCGTCGCGGCGCCGCGGCTCCGCCGAGCCAGCGCGGAGGCATTGCGTCGCGGCTGCGGGGCGCCGTGGTGTCGTGGCGTGGCGGCGTCACAGCGTCGTGTTGCCACGGCGTCGTGGCATCGCTGTGCGGATCAAGTGCAACTCGA